GCGATAGATAAAAATGGGATTGGGAATTAGGGGCGATAAAATGGGCGATTTCATTGATTAGGATTAGGGTTGCGATAGATAAAAATGGGATTGGGTTGCGATAGATGGATTGGGAATCAGGGCGATAAGGATTGAGTTTAGGAAGGGGGGAGATAAAAATGGGATCGGGAATCAGGGCAATAAAATGGGATTGAGTTTAGGAAGGGGGTGGTTGCGGTTAGGATGGTATGCTTTGGTAGATTGTACTTAAAGCAATAGAAGTTGTTTTTAAGAGTTTAAGAGATTAAGAGTTTAAGAGTTTGAGCCAAATGCATTATAAGATAGTATAGATTAAGTCACTATCAAGCAGTCATATACAACTAACCGAATAAGTTGTGAATCTCATTAAACTCATTAAGTTATTAACAAAAAAAAAAAAAACTGTACTTATTTTTGATTAATTTTATTCATATTTTTATACAATATTTTTCATGGTGTCTTTTTCACTATTTTTTGCATTCACATAATGAATTTAAGACAAATATCACGTGATATCGTTGAAAGTAAATTCAACTGTGAAATCACGTGTGATATTTGTTAATTATGAGTCATCATTAAGCCATCAAATGGAGGATTGACCTCCGTTTGCTTAATCATTGGCAAGATCCACGCGTCACGTGAGATTTATTGTATTTACCAAATTGTGGGCATCTATCCATATGATTAATCTTAACCCTAGCCCTTCCACTTCGGGTGGGATATACTGTATTTACCATATTGGGGACATCTGCCAATCAGTCTCATCTTACCCCTCTGACCCCACATTCGAGTGAGATATATTGGGTTTGTTTGGTTTGGTTTACAACATTTTAGATAAATCAAGCATTATGTTTTGGCTTATAATCTTATTGACCTGACGTTTTGTGCATTGGTGGTTGTACGTTTTGCATTGTAAAGAGTATTGTGAACGATATGCCAAGCCCTAGATGTAGATGACACTGAAGAAGAGAAATCGACCGATAAGGAAGTGAATGAATATGCGAGCAACTCGGGAGATGAAGCAACGGGTTCGGGCCAGGTCGAAACCTAGCAGTACATACATCGTAGCTGCTAAATCTTGTACATCATGCTTTGATTGTTGTACAAATCCTGTGAGGAATTTTCATCATACGTAATAGTTAGTCACAAGCGGACGAATCCGAAGCAATATACATCTTATGATGCTTAAGGTACAAGTTATTATTGCATTGTTGCTTCAAAAAATACAATTTTACGAGTTCAAGTAGAGTTTGCGTTTTCTTCTTCTTTCTGATTGATGCCATTAAAAATAAGTAAATAACGTTACTTATATTATAAAATATCTGATAAAAATTCTTAGAAATAACTCGTTAAATAGTATTTATGAATAATTAATATAAATATCTTAAAATTTAAGGCTATAAGTTGTATATATTACGTGCAACATATTAAAACTATTTGAATTTCATAAAACTAATTTATAACAGATAAATACATTCAAATAATCTATACTATATTATAATTTTTTTGGCAAAAATCTAGAAAACAGTTTGCTAAGCACTAAGTACAGTTATTGATGTAAATATTTAAAATTCAAGGTTACAAATTGTTATAGCTTACATATATTTTTAGAGCTATTTAAACCAGGGGTGTAAAAAACAACCGAAACCGAATATCTGGTTAATGTTCCGTTGACTGAACCATATTTTGCTCAAATTTCATTATACAGACGAACAATGAAACCAATTTCACTATTGATGTATTCTCATCATTAATTAGACTGATATGAAACATGTTTCAGATTACGTCAATCTATTTCATTAACCAGTCCAGTACCAAATAATATATTTTGCCATGTTGTATGTAAAAAAATATTTTTTAGGAACAAGATATGTCAAATATATTAATGAAAGAAAAGTCAATAAAACAATTATTTGTTTTCCTAATATAATATGACTGAAAGTTAAAATGGTTTGTCAATTTTGCTCTTTCTTGATTAAATATTAAACCTTTTATTCTATTTTTTACTTTTCTAACATAACACAATTTTAATCATGACCATTGATCAAGAAAATGGATGAATGAGATTGGTTTGTAGGGTTTGCACAAAATAGGTGGTTTGCATTTGATCGTTCCCCTCTCTCTCTCTCTCTCTCTCTCTCTCTCTATATATATATATATATATATAGATGCATACATACATACATACATACATACATACATACATACATATATATATATATATATATATATATATAGGGTTGGGTTCACATGAGACCAACTTGTTTTCATGAGGCCCGTGAGATCACTTTTTTACACTTGAAACTTCACAACATGTTGTGAAGAAAAAGAAAAAGCCGAAACTTCACAACAAAAACACTATAAATGTTACTTTTATAATATTTATAGACAGTATAATTAATATGACTTTCACAATATGTAGATAAAAAAGTAATCTCAAATATGGATGTTATTAAAGGAATACGAAGGAAGTATCACAAACCGACCTTAGCTCAGTTGGTAGAGCGGAGGACTGTAGTTGTTGCTGAAATCCTTAGGTCGCTGGTTCGAATCCGGCAGGTCGGAATTTTTGCCATTCAAATTTTAATAAATTGACTAAACTAACTTTTACGTCCCTGTGTTTCTTAAAATTTAAGACTTTAGTCCTTACACTTTCGAAATTATGGTTTTTGTCCCCATAGTTTCTTATTAATGTTCGTTTTAGTCCCTGATGCTAATTCCATCAGTAATTTCGTCCCTGTGTTTCTTCAAATTTACGACTTTAGTCCCTACACTTTCGAAATTATGGTTTTTGTCCCTATAGTTTGCTATTAATGTCTGTTTTAGTCCCTGATGCTAATTCCATCAGTTATTTACCGTTAACTAATTATATTAGTTAACGATTCGAAATTTACGTAATCGATGATGACATCAATCAGAAAAGAAGCACAAACTCTATTTTGAATCTCTAAAATTGTATTTTCCGAAGCAACAATGCAACAATGACTTGTACCTTATGCATCATAAGATGCACATTGCTTCGGATTTGTCCACTTATCTCTAACTTCTATGTACGATGAAAATTCCCGACAGGCTTTATCCAAAATTGAAGGCAGAATGTACAAGATTTAGCAGCTACCAATGTATGTACCGGCTACCTAGGTTTCGGCCGGGCCCGAACCCGATGCCTCATCACCCGAGTTGCTTGCATCTTCGCTCGCTTCCTTATCGGTCGACTTCTCTTCTTCAGCATCAGCCACGTCTTCAGGCTTCGCATATCGTTCACAATACTCTTTACAATGCAAAAGGTACAGCCACCAATGCATAAAAAGGTCTGTGTCAATAAGACTAAAAGCCAAGACACTATGCCTGATTTATTTAAAGGTGGCACTAATTTAACTATTTAAAGTTAAAACACAAAAGCATAAATTACGGAAGATCAACCAAACCAAGCAGAGACAGTATATTCCACCCAGACTGACAGACTTTTCAGATAAGACCCCCACCTTCCAAAAAAGGAAAGCGTCAAGTACCTTTCACTCGTGCTTCATAAGTTGCCCTGTCGCTTATCATAAGAGCTGCAGCCTCATCATTCATTGGATCAGCAGGATTCGGGTCCGTCAGCAATTGTGGAAGAAATAATTCGAACACATTCAATAAATCTATTCACATAAAAATAGCAACATTTAACGAGCCGAATGGTTTCTAGAAGATCTCTTTTCATGTTTTACCAAACCCTGAAAATCCCATTTTAAATCTTGCGGGGGTAAATCAAGATCACCACTTTTTCTAAACGATGATAATGGGCAAATAAGTAATCGTGATCAAATACTTTCTAAAAATGGAAATTTTGCATTTTTAAGTATTTTACCGAACATTGGGCTCCAAGCCTGATTGATCACATCTAAGCAAACCGCACCAGTGCTGAAACACGTTAATATACAAGCAAAATGTTAGATTTTCTAATCCCGGAATGGATTTTGTTTTACACGTTTATAAATACTTACAGTTCGTCAATATTCGGATGGTAAATTTTGTTTACAAAGCCAATAGATGGTGACTTGTAAGGGTAATCCTCTGGAAGCTCAACTCTTATCTTCCACACACCTCCTTGGTAAACAGCTTGCAAATTCATATAAAGTTCAAGAAAAATAAGATCAAATCAAACAAACTCAGTATATCTCATTCACAGGTAGGAACTGGGAATTGGGATGTCAGCAGACATGTCCTTTACCGTAAAAAGTAGAGCTGTTGTTTCAGTGAAAACCCTCGGCTTGTGAAAGTGTGTGAAAAAAGTACAATTTGCCCAAAAAAAGAAAAAGACCCACGAAAAATAAGATCAAATCAAACAAGTCAAGCATATTCCATACAGAGGTGGGGTCCACCGGTAGGAACTGGGATGTATACAGACATATCATTTTGCCGCGAAGAATAGAGTTGTTGTTTCAGTCAAAACTCCGGCTTGTAAAAGTGTGTGAATAAAAGTACAATTTGCCCAAAAAAAGAGCCAAGAAAAATATGATCAAACCAAACAAGTGCAGTATATTTCATTCACAGGTGGGGTCCATTGGTGGGATTGGGATGTATGCAGACATGACATTTTGCCGCCAAGAATAGTTGTAGTGTCGGTCAAAACCCCTGGATTGTGAAAATGTATGAAAAAGGTAACTTTTCCATATATTTATTCCATGATTCAAGTCATTTGGAAACACCAAAATCCTCTGTTTGACTTCTACAGTCAAATGGATCATCTTCAAAATCCAAAATCATTTGATTTTATGTATTTTTTGAAGATAAAGAACAAACATATATCTGATATTTCTTAAATCTTTTGACATAAAACCAATCATTTTGCTATAAACCTAAACAGATTAACATGTATTTAAGATGTTTTAAATGTTTGGTTGACCAAGAAAAGTCAAGCCATCAATGATTTCACAACCGGTATACCAAAAAATGCACCAAGATCCAAATCAGAAACATACATTCCCTTTTCTCTATCGCATTCCGATCATAAAAGGAAAATCATAATCGAAATCAAGAAAAATAAATACGAAAAGAAACAAAAACATCATGCTTTGGATGTGATGAATTATAACCCAATTCCCAGATGCTTAATTCCAAATTAAATCATTTTAAACCTTAAAAACACCCTTTCGAATCAACGATACACATTTTGACTTTTGAAGTCAAATTAGTCATCTTCAAAATCAAAAGTTCAACATGATCTTGAATGTAAACTGAAGATTAAAACAACAAAATTATCAATAATACTCAAAGATTTAACCAAGTAGCATCAATTTATATGTATCTGAACAAATCCATGTATATTTAGATGAAAATAAATTGTTCCATTTGACAATAAAAAAGTCAAAATCATCATCAATTTCAGAATGATCACAAAAAGTCAAAATCATCACCAATTTCAGAACACAAGTAGTGATGAAAAGAATGGTAGAACAGAATCAATAAAATGCGAATATCCAAATTGGAACACACAAACCCCCTCTTTTCCCAAATCATAAAAGGAGAAATTAAACACACAAAATCTAGCATTAAATCAATAATCTAACATAAAATCGATTTGAATGCAAACAGAAAAACAGAAAATCGATTTGGGGTTTCAAACTCTTTAGAACTTACTATCAGCAGGTCCATTGAAATGCACAACGAAGTTTTGCATTTCGTCATTGTTCAACTCCACTTTGTAATCCTTCATCATCCTAAAAAACACAAAATCAAAACGTAGAAATAACATCTGAATCAAACAGAAAAAAGAAATCGAACAAAATCAAACGAAAAACAGGGGAAATAAATCAATAACTTGAGAGTTGATTCGAGGAGATGAAATTAGAGAGCTAACAGTTTCATCAAATCTGTATCTCTGCGTTTGTTTGCAGAAGACATGGTTTTCTTTGCTAATTTTCAGCAAATTTCTCTGGGGTTTTGTTCTTCGTCTGCAATGGGTTCTTTCGAGGGAAAGATTCAAGACTCAAAAGACTTATAAAGGCGAAGGAGTTAAAAAGGGGGGAAAGAGAAACGATTATATATATATATATATTTTTTTTTTTTTTTCCACGGGGGTTTTTATATATTTCCTCCCTTATTTTTACATAATTCTATTTTGTTTTTGTGTTGTTTGTTTATCTTTTAATAGTTTCATTAAGAAACGGTGTATGAATCGTTAAGAGGTGAATCTTGTTTGGAAAAAAATCTTTCTCTTAATGTTCTAAAACCGACTGAATGAATTTGTATCTTAGGCCTCTCTTAACCATTCGGCGACCTAGTTTCATTCTGAACAATTACCAAATAACGATATTACATTTTGTACAATTTCACAAGAGCCTCTTGATTATTATGACCAATTAATCATCATGCACCATACCATTTAACAACTGTTAAAGAGCCCTTTAGACTAGATGTCTATATTTATAGTTTAGTTTATCTTAATATAAATATGAAAGTAAATATTTATTATTAAGAGTAAAATTGTCATTTAGTTAATTAAAAAGTGTAATAATTACATATTTCAAAACTATATATCATTTTTATTGTGGACGTTTATTTTGAAACAAAAGATTAATTTAAAATACTAAAAATGTAAAAAAAAAATGATTCGATATATTTGGGCAAACATTAGATTACTGGTAACCCAATCAACCCTATACAGAACCAACATCCAAGAACACCAATGTTATAAGGCATTTTTGACTCATTCAGCGGCTGAAACTAACGAGTGGTCAGGGATCAACTCAAGATCTGTCTTCTATTTGGTCAAAGTCATCCCACTTTTTTGTCAACCGAAAGTTAATTTGATTTGATATATAAAGTAACTTTACGAACCAGTTCAAATAGTATATAAAAGGGTTTATTTCTTTAATTTTGATTCGATAGGGATAAATGGGAGTTTCAAATGTCTGTATAAAAACCAATATCTGATATTTATAACGGAAAACATATAATAATTAATCTTTTAATAAAATATTTAAATAAATGGAGTATACTTATTATTATTTAGTGATAAAAAAACACATTTTAAATAATCGGTTACATATTAGTTGTAACAAACTTTCCATTTCATAAATATGTCTCATTTTATACAACAATTTTAGAGTAAATTACGTTTTTGGTTCCCTCGTATTTTTGAAATTATGGTTTTAGCTCTTGTAATTTGCATTTTATTGTTCTTTTCATCGAGGGGGGAGGGGATAGAAACAAGAGTAAATTGTATAAAAAAGCAACGTACTTTGACTTGATTTTTTATTTTGGGCAATGTATTTTCAAAACGTTCATTTTGGTACCTAAGATGTAAAGTTTTAAACATTTAAGTATTCGGGTAACCGGTTGAAGCATTAACCAGTTACCATGCTGATGTGGCGAGTGATTTGGTATCCGGTTAATGCTTTAACAAATAATATTGAGTTGGATACCACATCACTCGCCACATCAACATGATTATCGATTAATGCTTCAACCGGTTACCCGGATACTTAAATGTTTAAAATTTTATATATTTGGTACCAAAAATGAAAGTTCTGAAAGTATATTATCCAAAATAGGAATGAAGTTAAAGTATATTATATTTTCATGCAATTTGCTCTAAAAACAACAATGAACTATAAATTACAGGGACGAAAATCATAATTTTAAAATTATAAGAATGAAAATGCTATTTCCAAGAAACCACAAATATTTAACAACCCATTTTTTCACAAATATTTCTCTATTTTGATTATTTAATAAGCAGTTTTCAAAACACATGTACAAACTGTTTTCCTGTTAAAGGACCATTTTTGCTATTAAATAATGTAATAAAAATAATATATTTTTCTAAATATTTAAAAGTAATTATTAGAACTTTTAGTTATAAATATCAGATATTTATAAATAATAATAAACAAAATTCATTTTTTTTATTAACCTGGATATCCAACCCGCTATGCGAGCGACTAATCCCGGACGACTACAAGTGAATGTTTATTCCTTCTTGGATTTAAACCTGGGACCTCTAGGTACTTTTGACCTTTGGAGTCAAGCTCAAACCAATCAGGCACCACCCTTGTGGTTACAAAATTCATTTTTCCTTGTTGAAGGCCGTTAGCTTTAAGGACCAAATCCATAACAAACTGTATAAATGGAGGTTTCTTTTATAACAAACCGAAGGGAAATACAGGGGACGGGAGTAGTCAGAAGGATCTCTCTCTCTCTCTCTCTCTCTCCAGTTTTTCTCGACTCCTGAAAACCACGAGCACCACCCCCTCGCAAGTTCACCCTACTTCGACGAGAGAGCTTCGATAGACCATTCTTTCCCCCTCTGTTTGCACTCACACTCTCTTTGTAATTTACTCCAAAATTAATTATTAGGTCATAAAATAAAATTATGTGCAACGGTTGTTTACCAAAACACTTGTCTGGTAAGTGCTTACCGGTTAGAGTTTACATTCTCATTTACCTTATCGAGTAAGATTATAGTTAATCAAAACAACTTCATATACAACAATTTATCCGGTACGCACTAACCGAGTAAGAGTCACCATCCTTACTTACCGAGTAAGAGTCACCATCCTTACTTACCGAATAAAATTCTTGGTTCTTACCATCACTTTATCGGATAAAATTATGGGTCTTTATCATGTAGATCCGATAAAGTGGTCTTTATCATGTAGATCTGATAAAGTAAGTGACCTGATAAGCACTTACAGGATAAATGTTTGGTAAATAGCCCTTGATTTACAAATTTCTACTTTAAGCTTTCATGTTGGTTACAAAGAAAGTAATTGAATTCTAAACTTCAAAATCATTAGCAGGGTTTGAAAACCAGGGGACTTTTTTTTTTCAAACAAAATTCAAGGGCCGATAGGCCACCGGTCATCTTCTCCTGCCATATCATACTTTCGGCCACCAAACATTCCAAACCCTAATCCCCAAAACTTAACCTAAAATCAACCCAAACTCAAAACCCTAATGACCTAAACTCAGCCAAATCAACCCCAATCGATCTGTTTGTTGGTCGACGAAACATAGAAGAAAATCTGGACTACGAGATGAGATTCAAGATCTGGACCATCAAGGGGCGGCGATGTACGATAGGGTACGACGAAGCAGATTAGGGAGTCGGTGGTGCGATTCGGGTTTGAAGATCTGGACCATCGGCGTAGAAGGCGGTTGTTCAGCGGTGGTGGTGATGTGTTTTCGGCCAAGATATTACGGGAGTTGGGGGTGGGGTGGGGAAGAAGACGATGGGAGGGGTGCGGCCGGTGATTCACCGAGAAAAGGAAGGAGGGTTGGGAAAACAGGTTCACCGGAAAAAAAGGAGGGAGAAGCCGAGAAGGAGCGGAGGTTTCGCCGGAAAATGGGGGAAGGTAGTATTCTCTAGGGCTAGATAGGTCATAGGGCCACCGAGGGAAAATAGATTGTTATGAGTAGAATATGTGCATTATATACACTTGAGTAAATTACGTTTTTGTCCCTGTTGTTTTTTAAATATTACGACTCTCGTCCTTGTAGTTTTGAAATTACGTTTCTCAGTTCGTAATTATTATGTTTGTTCATTATGCTAACTCTTACCTGTAAGTATTTTGAGTATAAGTGACGAAAACATTAAATAATTGTAAAACCAGAAGAAGTAAAATGGCAATAAAGTGCAAATTATAATAACAAAACAACATTATAAACTATCGTGATGAAAATCGTAAATGTTAAAAACACAGACGAAAATAACAGTTTTCATCAAACTGAGAAAAAGTAAGCTGGAGACGGGTAGGTTAGGGCAAAAAGGAATGGATTCTAAAATCCCATGTATATGGGAAGGATTCTTAAATCCATTGTTCATGGGATTTCAAAGGAAGCGACGGATTTCAATTTCTCACAATCCAGCAAACCAAACACTGGATTGGAATGAATTTCAAATCCAAATCCCCCCAATTCCATTCCAATCCCGCAAACCAAACGCACCCTAAATGAATTTGATTTTGAAGGAATGGAATGAAATTTGACCATGCCTTGTGATTGCGTTTGGTTGCATGGAATTGGAATGAATTTGGATTAGGAAAGCAAATTGTCGGAAAGAAATTTGTCGAAAAGGAATTGAAATCCAAGGGTATTGTCGTGGAATGTAAAATCTGTGAGTAAAAGAATTTATTGGAATTGAAATGATTCCATCATTTATATTCTATGAACCAAACATTGTATTTGGAATTTGGTCAAAGGATTTGACAATTCCAATTTCTTTCAATCTCATCCAAATCCATGAACCAAACAGCCCCTAAGGGTCCTCGTCATGAATTTTAGGTAATGTTTAGTTTGCAGAAATGAAATGGATTTGAGGGATTTGGATTTCAAATCCATTACAATCTCGTGTTTGGTTTGTTGGATTGTTCGAATTTAAAATCCTATAATCATAGAATTTTGAAATCCTTAGGTGATGCTTGAGATTTCATGGGATTGTATGCAACATGGTTCTAAAAAATGTTTGTTTTGTATTGATTAATAAAAATGTAATTTACCTATTTTTATAATTTTTTATAAATTATTTATAAACAATAGAATCAAATTTCATTCCAAATCCTACAAACCAAACACACCAATGATTTTAAATCCATTCCAATTCAAATCCCTCAAAAACTAAACCACAAAGGTAGTGCATGACTGGTTTGAGCTTGACTCCAAAGGTCAAAAGTGACAGGAGGTCCTAGATTCAAATCCAAGAACAAATAAAAATCTCCTTGTGGCTACGAAGGTTCAAATGCGGTGACTTCGGGCTATCTGCAAAGCAGGTGGTCGCTCTGGGATTAGTCGGCTCGCATAGCGGATTGGATATCTAAGTTAATTAAAAAAAATCCATCAAAAACTATCATGCAAACCAAACGGACCATAGGATTCCAGATAACATGTATTTTTAAGTTGTTTTAGTTACGATCTTTAATATTCACTATATAAAAAATACAAAAACCAAATAAGTCAGTATTATAGTACCCGACTTCTAATATCGTGTACCAACCAAGTTTGCATACTTAATGTTGGCTGGTTTGGTACAAAAAATTTACCTCTAAATTTTAGGTATATAAATTTAAATGAGATTTTAATTAAATCCATGAACTTCTCATGAGTAGGGGTGCTCACGGCCCGGGTTGATCGGTTTGGAGCCGTTTTAACAACCAAACTCAATGTTGGCGGTTTGAAAATTTTCAACCCAACCCAACCCAAACAAAAGTTCAACCCGATCAACCCGAACCAACCCAACCCAACCCAACCCGTTCGGGTTGATCGGGTTGTGTTTAAACAATGTAAAATCACCTAAAAATAAAGAAAACTTTCCTTTGAAATACGACCGACCATTCAAGATAATATGCAAGTTCATCAAATATTTAGDTATWAYAATAAAAATGTTTAAACCAAATGATAATACATCAATCAACAACAATAGTTTTAGACGTTTCCAACCCCGATGCTTTCGCTTTCTTGACATTGAGGTTAGTCATATCATGATTGTCATCTACAATTCAAAGCTAAAGTTAAGGTCGGGTTCATCGGGTTGGTCAGGTTTTTTTGGGCCTGACCCGATTCCAACCCAATAAGGTCGGGTTGGCTAATTTTTTTATCGATCATGCATCGGGTTACCTCGGATTGAGTTTTTTTTTTTTAATTCGGGTTGGTTTTTTTTTTTTTTGAAAAATTCAGGTTGGGTTGGTCGGGTTCATCGGGTTTTTGAGCACCCCTACTCATGAGTATAAAATATTTTTTCTTTAATAGGTTAGAAAGTCATGAATTTAATTGAAAACTCGGTTAAAATCATATCGCTAAACGACCCTGACACGATATGAACGAGTAATGTCATATGCTACCCCTAAAGACTCTGAGCCCGCACCACGAAAGATCGAGCATAAGGACCGGACGACCAAGCTCAAACGAGTTTTTCAGGTCATGGAACATCCAACAAATTGTTTGAGCCACTTGTATGAGTTGTGATGTATGCAGATTTGTCTTTCGTTACAAATGGAATATCAGTTGTTTCCGTGAAAACCCTAACTTGCACAAAAGTAGGAACGAGAAAGTAAGAAAAACATAGGTAAAGATGCACCGAGTAAATGTAAAGATTGGTTACTAGAATTTTCGCACATTTAGAAGTAGATAAACCAATCTAAGTGCCCGTTTACTAAACGCTTATCCAGTAAGTGCTTTACCAAGTAATTTTTGATACTGGATGAACATGACAAGAGTCAAAAATCTTATCTAATAAGAGCAATGATAAAGATGGAAAGTCTTACTCGATACTCGGTAAGTGAGGGTGACGACTCTTACTTGAGTAAGTGCTTACCGGATAAATTGTTACATACAATACCATTTCGATATACTACAATCTTACCCGATAAAGTAAATCATATTGTTGACTCCTAAAGGTAAGCGCTTATCAGGTAAGTACTTAGGTAAATGACCCATAAATGAAACAAACTCAGTATATCCCACTTGAAAATAAAGTCCAGATGAAATAGGATCCACACAGATTTGTCCTCCACAACCAAATGGTAGATTGATTGTCTCCATGAAAACCCCAGCTTATGCAAAAGTACGAACAAAAAACCAAACAAACCCAATATATCATCTTACAGATATAATGTCCTAAGATGTACACAGATTTGTCTCTGCCCAAAAACCATTTCTGTAAAGAACTTCAACTTGCAAACCAAATACATAAAACAACACAAGAGACTATTTCCATAAATACCCTCAGCTTGCAAACCAAAAAAAAACATAAAAATGAGCACAAAAGCAATAAAACCAAACTACGTTTGGGGTTGTTTGACAGTTGCCGAATGGTTTAGTATAAAATAATTAAATGGTTAAAATGATTAACAGACTCTCATGATATACTGCAAAATGAAATATAATTGTTTGGTAATCCTTTGCAATGAAATTAAGACGGTGAATGGTTAAGAAGACCCAAAATACAAAATCATTCAAAGGGTTTTAAAACCAATAAGAGATAAACTTTTTTTTGCCAAACAAGATTCACCTCTTAACATTAAGAGACTCTCTCTTAATGGAACTATTAAGAAGTAAACAAACAACCCCTTAGTATATCCCACACAGACTTCACCTCTACCCAGATCAGTAAAAGATATTATTTCCGAAAATACCCTCAGCTTGGAAAGAAAAAGCATAAAAACAAGAACACAAGCAATATGGTGTAGATATCAAACTAGAAACAGCAAAACCACCATACCTCTTTCCATGTACATTCATATCCATAAAAACTTCAAAACATTTTGGACCCTACTATTCTTTTTTTTTAAACTGAGTTCCGTTTGTTTTCGGTCGACCCTCGAGCCAAAATCTCTTAACAAAAACGCGCAAAATTCAAGAAAAACGAACCAACTTACATGAAAAACGAACCAACTTACATCATCTGGCGTTTCGTTGCACCTTCTTCGGGGAGCATAAGATGGATCCTGTAGCATTATTGTTGCTTGCTTCATTTCCGACCTTCTCGAGCTCATCATCATCGCTATCGATATTGTTCGGATCTGACCGGTTCTGGTGGGCCCTACGTCTAAGAAGGTATACGTTGAAATAGTAACTAACCATAACCGCCATAGTTTTGTTCTTGAAATGGCTCGAAAGTTCATCCCAAAAGCTTGTACCCGAAGAAGCAGGGGTCGACTTTATAATATCCTCAAACTTCTTTTCTTCAGATGGAGCCCATTTGAGTGCAACATTCTCACCCATATCGTCGAACTTCCATTTCGCGAATGCGGACCCCAGTTCCAGTTTCGCCCTGTTACGTTTCTCGGAAACGTGAAACCGTATGCATTCTAACGAACCCGAAAACTGGCAGCCGCAAGAATCTTGCCGTCCCTTTCCGACACGTTCTAGCTCGATCAGACTGCTTCTTGTTTCGGTTTTTTCAAGTGGCCAAACTGGCGTGCCGAGCCACTTGGTGTCGGGTTCGTAAGTCTGTTCGGTCCACTCGGGTACTTTTGCTTGAAAACATCGGCCCAATGGGGTTCGTTTTCGCTTAAAGTTGCAACCCCAAAAATAATCTTCATCTTCTCGGTCACTTGGGCTGTTGGATGACGATTCTGAGCAATCTTGAGGCTGCGGTTTTCTTGAAGGGACGGTCGATTGAGTTTCTCTAGCAGAAATTAGCCTTTGGCTGCATCTTGATGTCGATTTCTCCCTTTGATCATCATACATTGCAGGAACCATCCTAAGATTCTTCTGCAAAAGAGAAAGAGGCTTGCTGCTCATAAAGTTCGGAAGGGCATTTTGGTAATTTCATTATTAGGCAAATATCTAATATGACCATACCAAACCAAACAAACCTAGAATATCCCAATTAAAAGTAGGGTCTTTGGAGAGGGGGGTGTATGCAGACGTGAATTCTACCCCAAAGAGCAAAGCAGATTTCTTGTGAAGACCCCGGCTTGCAAAAAAGTGCAAGGGATTTTGGAATTTTTGTAGCTAAGGGTCTTTTTGTTAGCAGCTTAACGAGCTTGATAAGACTCACAACTTATTCGGTCTGCTATACATGACTGTTTGGTAGTGGTTTAATGATGTAGAAAGTGGCTTATTCAGTAAGCTTTTAGGAGAGAATTTTATGCAGAAACCCAAGTTTTTCTACAAACTTGCCCCTCCCAAGTAAAAATCTATGAAAAACCCTCTCAAACAAAAACTTTCCAAATCCATACAGATTAATCCACACAAACAACTTTATCCATACAAGACTTAACAAAAAACCAACCAACAATCCCTAAGGGTCTTTTTGTTAGCAGCTTAATAAATTAAGCTTAATGAGACTCGCAGCTTATTCGATCAACTATACATGACTGTTTAGTAGTGGCTTAATGAAATAGAAAGTGGCTTATTCAGTAAGCTTCTAAGAGGAGCTTTATGCAGAAAGCCAAACTTTTTTCAAACCTGTCCCTCCCAATTAAAAAGCACGCTCGTTTCATCCATGAAAAAACTTTTCCAAACAAAAATCTTCTCAATCCATACAGACAGATTAATCCAAATAGACATATTTATCCATACAAGACTTTAAGGTAAAACCATCCAAACAGCTCCTAAGTTGAGCTCACTCAAACCATCAAAAGCATAAAATGAAATTTATTTAGAGGAAGACCATTAGATAATAGATATATAAACTAGAAGAATTTATTCATTATTTGTTTTATATCATATTAAAAGCTAAAAATAATAACAGAAAATCCCACTATAAAATCCAATCTTTTTAACAAAAACTGCCTTTACAACCTTTATATATTTTTACTATATTATAAAACATTTACTTCGGGGCTATTTGATAGTTACTAAATGGTTTGATGCAGAATGATTAAGAGGCTCTCATAATATAGTGCAAAATGAAATATAATTATTTGGTAATTATTTACAACGAAATTAGGACGCTGAATGGTTAAATGAGACCCATGATACAAAATCATTCAGAGGATTTTAAAACTATTAAGAAGCAGCCTTTTTTTTGTCAAACAAAATTCACCTCCTAACGATTCAAAGTCTGTCTCTTAATAGAACTATTAAGAGGTAAACAAACAACCCCTTCATGTTCTTAAAATTTCTTATAACAAAAATCTCATTTACACCATCTATATCTTCATGAAATTATATTACTACATACATAAAACTCTTTAAAAGTACATATTTAAACTCCATAAAACTAAATAACCAACTAATAAACACGTTCAAATACAGAATATGCATTGAGGCATACTACTTCGACAGATTACTTTATCATTAAAGCTAAAATAAATTGCATCTTTATTTTTAAATCTAAAATATTGAGGGGTTGTTGCTGAATGGTTTGGTGCAGAATGATTAAGAGGCTCTCATGATATAGTGCAAAATGAAATATAATTATTTGGTAATTATTTACAACGAAATTAGGATACTGAATGGTTAAGAGAGGCCCATGATACAAAATTATTCAAAGGGTTTTAGAACCATGAAGAGGCAAGTTTTTTTTTTGCCAAACAAGATTCACCTCTTAACGATTCAGAGGCTACCTCTTAATGGAACTATAAGAGGTAAACAAACAACCACTGAAACTATAATAAGATTTTGAACTAAACATATTACACCAAAAAACTAAAATTTGACGCCCATATTGATAGATTTTTTCGGATTCTTTCACATGATCTTCAAACTAGCAGGACATGTTTAACCACCATTTGTAATTTCTATTTTTCAAACATAAATTTCAGATTTTCTTTTTTATGAGAAAAGGCATTAATTTTCGATTTTCGGTTAACGATAGAAATTTACATCATGCTCCATCAAACAAGTACACAACTAATATACATGCATACATACAGACATGATACATACATATATAAACACACAAATGTATCAGACATGATACATACATACATGCATACATATACTTTGTGAGAAAAGAAATTAAATCATACATATACAAACATATCATGCATGTTCAATCAATAATTAGAGCTTCAAAATAATTGAGGATGCACAAGAGCATTTATACATGCATGTATAATTGTGTGTGTGTATATATATACAAGTCAAACCAAGTGAATAAAAGGAATAAAAGGGAAGTTCTATTATAATTCATACATGAATAGATATAAAAAAACATGCTTAAAGCTCAAGCCTTTGTCATGCTTTTACATTTGCTTATTTACCATACTCATCCAAACTATCAAGAAAAATAATAACCTTCTTGCATTCTCACAACCATAAAAGACAAATTTTCACCCTCATATTTTCACCTAGAGGTGGGGTCCGGGGGTTATGATATATGCAGATCTGACTTTTACCCCAAAGAGTAGAGCAGTTGTAACTAATAATCACCAACCTATTTCATTTTACCATTATCTTAGTTCAAATGATAAAAATAATACTTAAAATCATAAGAAACCACATGAGTTATTGAAGACTAGAATGATACTTGCGCAATGCAACGAGATACATTTTTCTTTTAATGTTTTGTTTTATTTTTTGTCTCTATTAATGTAATATGGTTTATGTGGCTTTGAGAAAAATAATGTTTTTACTTTTGAATAAAAATAAATTTTGAAAAAATATATCGATATTAATATCAAATTAACTATTTAAAAGTTCTCATTTTTTTGTACAATTTCTTTAATTCAATTTTCTATTATAATTTAATTTAGTTCAAATAGTGAAGTAATTTATTTTTGGCTTAACAATCAAATTTTTATAAAGATAATGATTATGTTAGAACTCAATGATTATCCTAATTATATTTTAGATTTTCTATACATAAAATGGATGTTTATCTTGTATTTGATTATGTTTATCTGTAGTAAGTTGTACTTACGCAAAATTACTTGTAATCTTGAATTTTAAGTAATATGCATCAATAAATAGTACTTCATACATAAAAAATGGTTTTTAAGAGTTTTTGTCAAATGCTTTATTATATAGTATAGATATGGATATTAACATTTAGCATAACAAATGCAAACTTTTCAGGTAGAGTTCAAAAAGGCATATGTGGACTACATAATCTCAATCACCAAAAACCCTTAATTATGAAATGAAGAAAATCATTACTCCCCTTATTATTAAGAGTAAAATTGGTATTTAGTTAACTAAAAAGTGTAATAATTACACATTCCAACACTGTATGTCTTTTTCATTGTGGACATTTATTTTAGAACATGGTTAGAAGAACTACAGTGTTCCACTTTGTCTCTTGTCGCACGAGGATTGCAACAATTGTACTGGTGTTCAAATACTAGTGAATGTCTAACAATATAATAGGGACCTTGTGGACCAAAACCAATACACTTAACAATTTGTAAGTGGTGAGAATGGTAATTAAACTTCAAATTATGCGGAAACTAAAAGTGAAGCACTTAAAAGTTGGTACCAACACTTGAAAGTAGCGCCTTTCACGGGTAGGATGCATGCAGAGCTTACCTCAACCACTAGAATTGAGAGGCTGTTTCGTGAAGACTCAAGGCTTGTGCACGAAAAAAAAGGTGCATGCAAGCAGACAATAAGATAGATAATATAGCATGAAAACAAGAAATATAGCATTTAAATTTTGGTACCAAACCAAACCAAATGAAACCAGTATATCCCACTTGAAAGTAGTGTCTATGAGGGGTAGGATGTAGGTTGACCTCACCTAAACCAATAGAATCGAGAGGTTGTTTATGTGAAGACCCTAGGCTTGTGCACGAAACGTGCGTTTAGTATCCAGACAAGATAGAATAGAATAGAACAGGGCATAACAGCTGTTCAGCAATTGATAAGACAATACTGGACAGAACATGACAGATAAAATGACCAATTTACCCCCAATTAGTTGTTTATATTTTTTGATTAATCATGTAATTATTAAATTATAATTAATAAATATTTTTTATGACAAAATATATCATTAAAAGTTTCCGTCCAGACAATTAAATTGACATCAAAATGAAAAGTTTATGTAGTTTCCAATTTTTAATTATACCTTTTCTGTATTATGTTTTTTACTATTAATATTTAATAAATTACATAAATTAATCAAAATCTAGAAACCATATAAAAAATAATATTTTTAGGACAGTAAACCGAAAGTTTAAAGAGCATCAAATACGATAAATATAATTTAAAGAATGAATAAAATGTAAAGAGGAAGGCGTATTTGATGTTTTAAAAGAGAATTAGGTTTTGTTTTAAGGTTATATTGGTAAAACGTAAGTATGTTCAAGCTTGTTCCATGGGGTGGGGGTGGAACACGCCTGTTCCACTTTGTTCTCTGTTCCACATAAAAGTCTTGTCAAACATGAAACAATGATCCTTGTTCTGTTATGTCCGGTGTACCCAATGCACCCGAAACAAAGGTGTGTGCAAGCAGACAATAAGATAAGAAAAGTAATATAACAGGTGAACAAGAAATATAACATACAAAATAACACTAAAATGCTGGTAAAATGCCTAATGTGGTTGCACATGTATGAACATAAACAAGATTGTGGCAATGTAGACTAAAGTTTCAGTAATTCAAATAACAAAATTCATATGTAAGGAATTGAGTAATTGAAAGTACCTGCCAAATGATTATTTTCTTCGAATCAACATTACTCTTCAAAAGCATTGCTTCTCGAGCCGATAAAACCTGCTTCCATACATGCTCACCTCCATAAACCTTCCATTTAGACCTTTCCGGCATAGACCCAATTGCAGGATCACATGGATCTTTCGATACCCTTTTCACCCAATCCAACAATGGCAAATACCGCTCTCTTTTCCTCTTTCGACTTGACTCATTTTCTTCTTCGTTAGTCCCCACAACCGACTCAATAACCACACTATCTCTTCCACTACTATCACTCTTCTTCGCACCTTCACTACAATCCTTACCTCCAACAAACCCAACACAACTCTGCAAATCTTTAACATCCAATCCTCTTTCCACACAAGTACCCACAAATTCCTTATAATCTTTCATCTCAACATCCAAAAAGAGCTTTGTGGAACGACTAGAATCAAGCATCAAATCATTGAAACATGATGACCCATTTCCTGAATTATTATCTTCAACATTTTTAGCAAACCATTCATCCAATAAATCAAGATACTTCACATAAACAACCTTCAAACTTGCAGAAGCATTCGAATCACACCCGATATCCTCAGCAACCAAATCCCAATAACCATTTCTAGAAACACTTTCATACCCACCTTTTTCTCTCACTGATAAGTAAAGTCTCAGCAAATCAATAGGTTTACCATCACCAAGCATTGGAGGCAAAGGCCTAAAACAACCACTATCACAGATCTCCTTCAAAAACCTAGAAACAATTTGATTGAACAATTTCGTAAGCTTACCATCAATATCTTCACATTTTAACGAAAACCCATTTTTGAGAACTTCTTCTATGATTCTAAAACAATCTAATGCAGACCCATCTGTTACCTTTAACCATCCTGCCATTATGCAAGATTTTTTCAAACCCTAAACAGAGCATATAAATAGATCATATAAAAAATCAAACGGAATTACATCAAATTACACAAAATTAAACCACAAAACAGAAAAAGGGAGTTACCCAGATGAGTTCATTTACGAATCTAAGGGTTTTATTTCTTGTTTTTCAGGGCGGGAAGATGGGATTGATTGATCTAGGGCTCGAAGACGAAAGGTTGAGAGTTGAAATTTTTTGAAGATCCTTTTGAACTCCCCGCCCTTTCTCTCTCTCCCGAAACTCAAAAGGGTAGAGAGAGAGGAGGGTGGAAGAGACATTTCAAGTGTTTTTGAACAGAGAGATAACAATTTAAAGAAAAAATCCCAAAGATTTGTGACGAATTTTCAAAGAGAAGAAAGAATACCAGTTTTTTTGTGGTGCGTAGGGGCCTCGTCTTTCGGTGTTTCCTTCTCTTTAGCCCCTTTGGGTTTCGTTTATTGAAAAGGGGGAGGCTTTTAAGAGGGGTGAAGATTGAGAAAGAGAAGGGGTGAAGAGATGTGAAAAAAGCCTAGGGTTTTTAATTTCAAGAATTGGGCAAAGAGAGAATGTTTATTTATATAGTGGGGATGATGAATCTAAACCATCTTCTTGTTGACTAATATAAGGGTATTTTGGTAAATTCACATGTTCTTTTTTTTTTTGTTGCAAAACTTGGTTGGCAAATGCAAAAGGGTTGTAGAACACCCATAAATCTCTTTAGAAAGATTCATGGTTTTTGATTTGTTAAATGGTATTATTTGGATTTGGATATTAGTATTGAGTATTGGATTTGATTTATGAAGTTATGATTGTGTTTATAAGACGGTGAATTGATATCGTTTCTTATTTTGGTCAAAAATCTCGAATTAAAATAAGGTGTAGATTTGTTTTTTGGATCTTTTTGTTTGACATGAAATGGGTTTTTAAAAAACTAAAAATACAGGTATATGGTTCAACCAGTTTTTTGGTTTGGATATCAGATTACCAAAAAGGCTATGATAACCTTTTGTTGTGGTGTTGGTTATGGTTTTGATGGTTTGGTTGTTCTTGCCATGGTGAGGATGGTGGTGGTGCTATGGCGGTCGTGGTCGGATGGTTATGGTGGTGGTGGTTGTGATGAAAAGGTTAACAAGAAATAAGGTGTGCTCATTTGGGTTAAGAGATGTGATGGTGATGGTGGTGAAAAAGTTAATGGTGGAATATCGTGGTGGTGGTGGTTGTAGTGGTGGCAGCAACGGTGGTGGTTGTGTATATTGATGGTATTTTACTTTTATATAAATCAACGATGATATTATAATATTTAAATAATATTTTAATTTAAAGCTAAAGATGTTGTCACTCTTTTCAAAAATCATAATTGGTCTATACTATATTATAAATTATTTGACAAAAACTAATAAAAATTATTTTTTATGCATTAAATACTGTTTATTGATGTATATTACTTAAAATTCAAGATTACAAATGATTTTGCGTAWGTACAACTTATTAAAGCTTTATTTTTGAATTCGTGTAACTAATTACAGATAAATATAATCAAATACAAGATAAACATTCATTTTGAATATAGAAAATCTAAAATATAATTACAATAATCACTGAGTTCTAATAAAATGTTTAATTATTATCTTTATAGAAAGTTATATTAATAAACAAAAAATAAATTACTTTGTTATTAAATCTATATTAAATTATAATAAAAAATTGAGTTAACGAAATTACACGGAAAACGAGAAATTTTAAATAATTAATTTAATAGTAATATCAATATATTTTTTTAAATTTATATTTCATTAAAAAATAAAAATATTATCGTTTTCTAAAAATCACATAAAACTGTATTATATTCGACAGAGAAAATGAATAAAATGAAACATTCAAATCGAGATATAGCTCGTTGCATTATACGAGTACCCTTCTAGTCTATGCTATAATATAAAGCATTTGACAAAAACTCTTTAAAATCATTTTTTATGCATTAAATACTGTTTATTGATGCATATTACTTAAAATTCAATATTACAAGTAAAATGTGCGTAAGTACAATTTATTAAAGTTTTATTTTTGAAAATTCATGTAACTAACTGCAGATAAAATCTCATTTTAGATATAAAAAATTAAAATGTAATTAGGATAATCATTGAGTTTTAATAAAATACTTAATTGTCATTTTTATAAAAAAATTATATTTTAACCAAAGATAAATTACTTTATTATAAAATATAAATTAAAATATAATAAAAAATTGAATTAAAAAAATTACACGAAAAACGAGAAATTTTAAATAATTAATTTAATATTAATATTATACCTTTTTTTTGAATTTATATTTCATTGAAAAATAGAAATATTACCCTTTTTCTAAAAACACATAAAATCATATTATATCGACGGAGAAAATGAATAAAATGAAACATTCAAATCGAGATATATCTCGTTGTATTGCGTGTCTGCATGAGTACCCTTCTAGTAATAAATAACTGATGCTTCTTTAATTTCTAAGAGCATATCTATCGGGTATGCTGTATTTTCTCTCTTTATATAAATATGAAGATTTCTTTATTTCTTTCTCTTTTTCTCTATTTTAAAAGAGAGTTTATCACATTTGTTGGAGCAATTTTTTCCTAAATATCCAAAATTTATAAAATAACATAGCTGTTGAAGATGCTCTTGTTTTTTCAAATAGAGAAACAAACCTCAAAATCTTTAAAAAAAAGTTCAATTCCGACAGTATTTTTATTTTAGTTATTTAAACAATTATCTATACTATATTATAAAACATTTGACAAAAACTCTTAAAAATCATTTTTTATACGTGAAGTACTATATATTGATGTAAATTACTTAAAATTCAAAATTACAAGTACAATTTATTAAAGCTTCATGTTTGAATTCGTGTAACTAACTGCAGATAAACATAATCAAATAGAGGATAAACATTTCTTTTAAAATCTAAAATATAATTAGAATAATTATCGAGTTCTAACAAAATAATTAATTATTATCTTTATAAAATATTATATTATTAAACCAAATATAAATTAATTCGTTATTGAATAAATCATGATAAAAAAATTTGAATTAAAAATTAACAAAAAATGATGAATTTTTAATAGTTAATTTCATACTAATATCGATATATTTTTGTCAAATTTTTATGATATTTTAAAATTTATATTTTATTAAAAAAATAAAAATATCATCGTTTTTTCAAAATCATATAAGACCGTATTATAACATCGACTGAGATAAAGAATAAAATGAAATATTAAAATCAAGATTTATCTTATTATATATGTGAGTACCCTTCTAATAATAATATTAAAATATTCGATTTATTTCATTTCCAACAACTTTTAGAAAATAAAAAAACATACAATTAATGGTACTTTTTTTGGTTGGGAATTGAATAAATAAATTGTAAAAAAACAATTAATAACATATTTTGTACTCGAAAACAACGTAGATTTCTTCAAATTAGAAGGATTTTTTGTTCTCTCTTCATTTTTCTATTTTAAAGAATGATTTGTGGATTCCATTGGAGCAATTTTAATCGAAAAAGACTCTTCAAAATAATTGTATGAAAATAACATACTTTAACTTGATTTATATTTTAGTTAACGTATTTTCAAAACTTTTATTTTGGTACATAAAATGTAAAGTTTTAAACATGTAAGTACTCGGGTAACCGGTTGAAGCATTAACCAGTTATCATATTGACGTGGCGAGTGATGTGGTATTCAACTTAGTATTAATCTTTTTTTAATCTAAAATTGGTTTTCAACCGGTTACCCGATTAGTTAAATGTTTAAAACTTTATATCTTAGATGCCAAAATGAAAATTTTAAAAATATGTTACCCAAAATAGGAATTAGGTTAAAATACGTTACTTTTTCATTTAATTTACTTTTTATTTATTTAAGAATTCTTCTAGATATGCTTTTATTAAGTCAAATTTTGCATATTGAAAATCAGTCTAAACTAAACCAAATATTTAATAAATCTCACATAAATATGGACTGTTCAATATTGAACAAATAAGATGAAACTCACGTATACAATTAAACCAGTTTGGCAGATTTTACCGAATACTAAAAAGGTCGATGGCGACTTTTTTGTGATGATTGTCGTTGTGGTCATGACCGTAATGATGATGGCGTTGCAAATGGTTAACAACGAATAAATGATGACGGGTTTTAAAAGACAGTCAACAATAAAAGATGATGCCGATGGTGGTAAATACGTTAATTAAGAAAATACGGTGGTGTCAGGGGTCGACATAATGAGGAAGGATGGTGACAGTGGTGGTCGTAGCGGTGGCATTGATGATGTAATCTTAGTCGTTGATGTTGGGAGGTCTAGACTTTTTGGGTAGGGGTCAAATGAAAATATATTTTTTTTTATAATTTTATTTTGTATAAAAATATATTTTATTTTGACCTCCAAAAAGAATTTGGTTTGATCATACAAATTTATTAATTGTTATGCATAATTATTGATTTTTTAATCAATTTTTAATTGTTAATTGTTTTATTATTTCATTAGAAAAATGAAATTATTTTTACATAGAAACAATCAACATCTAGAACTGATGGTAGGTATGGTAACGACGTGGGGATGGATGCGGATTTTGTAATCCCCGACCCCGGTTTTCGTAACGACCTCAGGCTCCAGTCCCCGGCGGGTGCGGAGATTAACATTCAGTCTCCGGTCAAACTTTGGTCAAACCCCATGAAGAATGTCTGTTAGTTTGAGTCTACCGGGAATCTCCGACCCCAATCCTGGTTTGAGTAACAGCCCCCACCCCCGGCCCTGGTTTGAATCTACTGGGGATCCCGGGACCCGTTTTAGCGATAAATCACCATCCCCGTTCAAGGTCGGGCCAAATCACCATCCTTAACTGATAGCCGTAAACTTATGTTAATGAATTATCGTAATATTTCTCACTCCAATTTCTACTACTTCGGTTAGAACCCATACCTTATCGAGCATATTATCTCATTTTAAAATTTGATTATTTTACAACAGGAAATGCTATAAAAACTGATATTGATTAATTTTTCTTGGATATATACCTAGAAAAAAACCGATATCAGTTAATTTGGACCCAAAACCAGAATTTATGGGTCCGTCACTGTTTACAGACAAATTAACATAACATTTTAATATTAAAATCATCCTTTTTCAAAAACAACAATTGCCACACATAATGCTTTAGTTAGGGGTCGTTTACCATACATTTACCC